GGTGGCAAACGAACCTCCTCCCTGCTCACTGCTGCTAATTTTACGGGGATCCCGCCGCGCTACTGGAGCGCTCGCAGGAGCCGGAGCGCCCGGCCGGCGCTGGAGCGCGCAGCCGGCAACGCTACCGCTTCGAGCGCCGCATGTCCTTGAAACCTGGTGCCCAAAGGCACCCGCCAGCCTGGCCGTGCCTGCAGGGGTGACACTGCCCCCATTGCCACCCTCCCGTCCTCGAGCCCCGGGGGGGAACGTGGAGCATCGTCACAAATGGTCCCAGCAATGGTCTCTAATGAGACCTACGAGAAGCTTCTGCTGCAGGGAGAGGCTGGGGGGATGAGAGGGGGAGAGAGAAGAAATGGGGAGAAATCAGTGTTTATTTTTTCATCTCTTGTGTGTGTGTGTGCAGGAGCAATTGCTTTAAAACATCCTTTGGCATGTGAAAGAACGCAAACACCCACTGACAGCTTGTCTCTCCAGCTAGAGAGCCTCTGTCTGAGCATCGCTTTGATGTGAAGACCTTGACGTGTAAATTCCCGTCTCCTCCTCAGCCTCCGTATCGGGACTCACCTGCCAGAGGAGAAAAAAGCTCTTCCTTTTCGGCACAATAAGAGGTTGTGTCTGGCATTTCCTCGGCATCCGCAATGACTTCTTGCTCTCCTAAGCAGCATCAGGTGGGTCGAGCCCAGCCCCACTGGGAAGGGAGGTGGATGGAATTTTTGGGAAGGATGAATAGGAAAAGAGCCCAGCCTGCTCGCACACTGCTCGGCATCCTGCTCTTCTGCTGCGTTCGTGTCACTGCCGGAGTGCCGCAGGACATGGGCCGCACTGCCCAGCTCAGTGCCAGCCGCACAGCCAGGGCTGTCCTGTGCCCGCGGCTCTCCAGGATGTTCATCCCACCCCATCGTCTGCGAGCTGGTGTCTGCTGGGCAGGAAGGTCTCCCCAGGTCTCTCATGCAAGGGCAGAGCAGGAGCATCTCTGCATGCATGTGTGTTAAAAAAATGCATTAAATATTAAAGGAAAAAAACAATTTTGCTTGGGCTCACTCTTAAAGATGTTAGCAGCATCCTGCTCTCACTCTGCATGGAGACAAAGCCCCGCAGCTGCGGAGGTGATGGAGGGGGACGGGCCATGCGGACCAAGCTCCTTTCCCTGCTGAGGAAGGGCCTGCTCTTTCCTGGCTGCCTTTGGATGAGGTGCTGCCCATGGGAACAGCCCCTCAGGACCCACATCCTCCCTCCTGCAGCCCTCCGCGGTGTTCAGCAATCTCTTATTATTTTTTAAATTTATGAAAGAAAACCACTCCCCATGGAGCCTTTCTGCACCTCGAGCCCTGCTGAGGGGGATGCCCCAGCCCATCCCTCTGCATCCCACAGAACCCCTGATCTCAGGTTCATGGGATCCCCCTCACCCAGAGCCAGCGAGGGTGCGAAGAGGCGCCGCGTGTGGACCAACACCGCGAGAAGGGGTTTCCATAGCGACAGACACCCGAACGGCCTGGGTGACGATGCTGCCGGGTGACGGTCTTTCTTGCCCGGCATCACCTCGTGCAAACCCCGGAGCTGCCGTGGGAACCTGGTGCCGCTGCGGGAACGCGGATGTGTGGGGAAGGTGGTGCGGGTGGCAGCCCCGCCGAGCAGATGGCACCCTGCGCTTGGCCGGGCAGCACCTTCTCCTTCATTACCCCTAGCGCGGAGCAGCCGTCACCCGCGTCCCTCCAGGGAAATGTCCTCGGGATGGTGACCCCGGATCAGGCTCATTACTGCACTTGCAGAGGCCGCTTTGCAAGGTGCCCGGGAGCTGGCCCGGGGGCCGGCCGCGGCTGGAGCGGGGATGGAGGGAGCCCCGGCACCGAGTGGAGCGGGCAGCTTCCCCCTCCGGCCCTGCCCGGCTATTTTGAGCTGCTGACCCCAGTGGCCACGTGCGCGGCCTTCGGTGACGGTTATTCTGGGCGCGAGGAGACATCAGGGGAGGAGCTGAGCGGCTGCGGGCTCGGGCCTGGGGCAGGGGGCAACTCCGCTCTGCTGCTCCAGCGTGGGGGGTTTCCACCCCCTCCTGCTTTGCATCAGGGTGTTTGGAGGCGCAGCAGCTGTGCAAAGTGGGGAAAAACACCGTGCAATGGGGGAAAAAACACTGTGCAATGGGGGGAAAAAGCACCGTGCAATGGGGGGAAAAACACCGTGCAATGGGGGAGAAAGCACCATGCAATGGGGGAAAAAGCACTGTGCAATGAGGGGAAAAAGCACCGTGCAATGGGTGAAAAGTGCTGTGAAATGGGGAGAAAGCATCATGCAATGGGGAAAAAAACTCTGCGAGTGGCTCACTGCAGACACCTGCAGCCAGAGGCCTTGCTCTCCCCCTTGGAAACACAGACAGGTGGAAGGAAACGTTCCAGCGGGGAGGAAAGCTTTGGAAGACAGGCAAAAGGGGGTATTTCTGCCAGCCACATTTGGCTGTGCCAGTCCAGTAGTGGTGACAGCAGCAGCCAAGCTCTGGCCCGTGTGTGGAAGCTCTTTCGGGGGGTTTCAGCTTCTGGAGGAATGGTGGGCAGAGGCAACTGTGGCTGGAAAAGCGGCTTCATCCCAACTGCAGCACATTCCCGACTCCGGCATGGGATTTCCTTTTGCTACCGGTACCTGCCAAAGAGCTGCGTTGTCCCCGGGGTCCTGCAGCGGTGCCTTCTTGCTGTGTTTTTCCTACCTTCATGAGCCCAGACCTTTGCAGGGGGAGCATGGGAAATATTTTCCCGCTTCCTCTCCGAGCAGGAAAAGCCGGCATGGCCCAACTCCCCGGCGGCTCCGTGCACAGCTGGGGAGGAGCTGGGGGGTCCATGTGCTGCCCCAGCTTTCGGCTCCTGCAAGCACTGAGCAGCAGCCAGCACCTCGCAAGGGCTCCACGAGCGGGAAAGCAGGGATGGATTCTCAAACTAACTGGGAATTGGGGCTCCAAAATGGAGGGGAAACACTCCCCATTTGAAGGGCAAAACCCAAGGGTTATTGCGACCAACCAGCCTTGAGTGAGCCCCTGCTCACAACACCCACGGGGTGATTTGGGTGCCTGGGTGGGCACTGGCTGAGCCTGCTGTTCCCAGTGCCCAGGGCTGCTCCAGCTCTTTGTAACAGTGAGCGGGGTGATGGATGGTGCCAGGATGGGCACCAGAAACTCAGCCGGCACAGGGGATGTGCAGGGTCAGCAGCGAGAAAAAGCACTGGTTCCCCTTTAATTGTTCGCCTGCCTGCGCATCGATACTAATTAAGATTGTGTCCCATAATTGCATTTAAAACAGCGAGGGAGAGCAGAGTGCGGCTGAAACCCTTTTCTTTCGAGTCACGTCCTGATCAGATGGGCTTTCAGGGCAAATTAGCAAAAAACACACACAAATGCATGCATATACACACACACACATATGCACACACATACATGCACTTGTGAGCAGTCTTGGCAGTGCAGGCATGGAGGCTCAGCCAGGATGCAGCAGATGAGCCAGGAAACCTTCTCCTTCCTGCCCATTCCCTGCTGGCAGAAGGGACAAATTCTGCACAAGGGGGGATCAGAATGGACAAGGGGCAGGAGGCAGCAGGATCCTGGTCTAACCTGGTCAAAGGGCTCCAGGCTGGGGGCCGAGGTCCTGCCCTGCAGTCCCACGAGGCTGCAGGTGCCTCCACTCCTGCAATCACTGTCTAAAATTAGCCAAGCTCTCTGGCCTTCTGCTTGAGCAGGATGTTCCTGAGGTGTCTTGCATCAAAAGGAGGGCAAAGGAAGAGAGAAAAGGGAATGAAAAGCACAAAGGGCAGTTCAGTCAATGCATGTCTAACTTTATTTGATAACTTGCCCTGCGTAACATCTATTTAAGTCATTTACGAAGAGTACAAGTAGCTACGGAAGATCTGCAAGTCTAAGACACCAAGTATAACTTCTAAAAAAGCAAATTTAACTTTCCCTATTAAATCTGGCTGCGGCTGCCACCCTGCCCAGGATCATGGTGCTGTGCTCCTGATTTCACACAGCAAAATATCCCCTCCTGTGTGCGGAGTGTTCACAGCGAGGTGGGAGAAACTGCCCTAAACTGCTCTAGTGCTGATGCCTGCGGGGCCAAGCACCCCGCGTTGCTGCTCGGAGGATGGTCCCGAGGGCTCCGGTCTGGAGCTGGGCACGCGGTGCCGCTCCGGCCGCGGCGGGGGCTCTGGCAGGAATTTCGCGCGGCAGCTGCCG